TCTATTCCTGGGGCCTTATTTTTTGCTATTTCCTTCAAAGAAGCTTGAACTTCTTCCTTCATCACCATAGGCTCTTGCTCATATGTTGTTTCATTGAATTCTTCTATGTCTGCCAATTCTTTTTGATACAGTGACTCAGTATATTCTTTCCATCTTCTTTTAATACTTCCTGGATCATTTAACCCAAAGGAAAATAGAACTGAGATGCAAAAGGAGATTTTTACATCAATGTTTATAGCAGCATTATTCACAATCACAAGAACATGGGAACAGCCCAAATGTCCAGCCACAACTCTATTGAGAAATTGTGGGACATTCACATGATGGAATACTATGCAACACTCAGAAACAACAGTTTTGAAAAATACTACATAACTCAGGAGAGACTGGAAAACATTATGCAGAGTGAACTAACTTCATCTCATAAAGACAAATACTGTATAAATCCTTTTTTCTTTAAATAGAAAGATTACTAGTAAAACATGTGTGGGTATCCCAGGGTTCAAGGGGTGCAGGCAGAAGGGTGAGGATGGACAGGAGGGAAATCACAGAATCACACAATTTGGTGGGTAAAGAAATGGGAATGATCTGGTGGGCACCTAAAAAGACAGGTTAATGATAGGTATAATTCAATAGAGAGTAAGTTTATAAAACATAACATACAGGAATGATTGCATGAAACAAGATGTGAATGAAGGGAAATGTGAAATATAATGTATACAAATTTTGCATGCAAACCAATAGAAAATAAAATGGAAAAACATCTCCGTAAGTAAAACAGTATAAAACATAAATGTTATTTTAAATTAAGAAAAATCTTACCACACTATTTACTCAAAATATGATGAAATTGTACACTTGGTATATGTCTACTGCACTTCTTTGGAAACTTCTTCCTTAACTAAACAATTGCAAACTAAAGCTACACTGCAGGCCTCCTGGTTCAACTTTGATGAACTCTGTAAGAAGCGCTGGTGATGTAGTGTGATCAGGGAAGCTAATCGTAAGGTCAGTGGTTCAAACTCACCAGCAGTCCTGAGAAGTGGACAATCTCCTCCCATGGATTGCTGACGGAGAGTCGGCATGAGCTGCAATTTACTAGAGGCAGTGGGTTTGTAATGAGCATTACATCCTAGTGAACTCCAGTTCCTAAACAGATTTTTTTTGTTTTGTTGCAAATTTTCTTCCCCATCCCTAGCCCACCCCGCAATGTACCCCTTGTTCCAGAGCTAAGCTGATTTTTATCTTGTTGATTTAAGGCTTGGGAAGCTTTCTTTTAAAGGTCATCCAGCAAGTTCTTCCAGAACTCTACTGACTCACGGGCCAGTTCTCCTTCCCACTGGGGAAGGAGAAAAAGAAATCAACACTTGTGGGGCACTTCATGGTTCTCCAGGCTGCTTGACATCCATAATCTCATTTCCTGGATTAATCCCATTTAACACAGTCGAGTGTGTAACGGATAAGATGGAGCCAGGAGAATATCAGCTTGTTTATTACAGCGGGCATCTATCCTGATGCTCAGGGCCCATGCCAGGCCAATTGTTAAACATCTTGATTTTTCCTCCTGGGTTAAGCGTTCCAGTGTCTGGGCTGAAATCCAGGCACTGCCATCGTGGGAGATCTTGAACAAAACTTTAACCCATTGAGCCTCCATTCCTTCCTCTGCAAAGGAGGGGCAGTAACAGTCACTTTCTCATTGGATGTCTGGGGAGATGAAATGGGATAGCACGTGAAAGGGGCTGAGCACAGAATTTGGCACTTAAAAAAAAGCATCAATAAATTCTGGCAGCTATCATTAGTACTACTGTTATTATTGAATCTCACAACATTCCTTTAAAGAAGGTTACCTGACTGTCCCCATTTTATAAACAGAAACTAACATTCAAAAAGGCAGAGCTATTTACTCAAGATTACACAGCAAGTAAGTAGCAGAAGTTGAACCCAAGTTCCATGACCAGGTTCCTACCAATGAAAAGCCTTCATAGCCATCACTAAAGGAGGTGGTTGTTGTTGTTGATTTCCTTTGAGTCAAGCATGACTCATAGCAACCCTATGAACAAAATGCCTGGAGTCTTTCTATACCTACAGACCTTTATCAAAGTTCATGAGGTTTCCAGAGGTATGTTGTTTAGAAAGTGGATTTGACAGACTAGTTTCATTCACATTACCTTAGTTTCCAAGATACTGGAAATTCCTGGGATGCAAATGATGCCTAGGGGGAATGGGGCCTCTGAGAATACAGAGTGGGTATCACAAAGACAGCTCACAAGATGAGGTCCTATACATCATGAGGGGTTCACTTCAATCCTATCAGCACCCCGGGGAGGGAAAAAACAATGGCTTTAGAGACAACAGATCTGGGTTCGTAGCCTGCGGTGCTACACACTAACTCCCAAACCCCAGGAAATGTACTGCCTGTTTCTGAGCCTCAGTACTTTTATCAATAAGATAGAGATAATCACATCAACTTTAGAAGACTCTATAGCACTCATAATGACTTACTTGAAGAACATTGTGACTTGAGGAAGACTTGAAGCATTTGCTATAGAAGATTAAGGACTACAGTCTTCAATACGGATTGGATTTCAACAGCAAAGAAACAAAGATTAGGGGAACTGCGAACACTCTTTGCAGATGGGGGCACAGCTTAAATTGCTGCCTATGAATGATCAGATCCGGGAACTGCAAACCATCATACGGGACAAGACGGCCAGCAGAGGGGACTTCATGTTTTCTGCAGATCATTTGATCAGACTTGTTGTAGAAGAGGGACTGAATCAACTGCCATATAAAGAATCCTTGGTGACCACTCCAACAGGGTACAAGTATGAAGGAGTGAAATTTGAGAAAGGAAACTGCGGGGTCAGCATAATGAGAAGTGGTGAGGCAATGGAACAAGGTTTACGAGACTGCTGTAGATCCATAAGAATTGGAAAGATCCTGATTCAGAGTGATGAGGAGACACAAAAAGCTAAAGTATATTATGCCAAGTTCCCCCCAGACATTTACCGGAGAAAAGTCCTTCTGATGTATCCAATTCTCAGCACTGGAAATACTGTAATTGAAGCTGTAAAGGTTCTTATAGAACATGGAGTTCAACCCAGTGTTATCATCGTACTCAGTCTGTTTTCAACTCCTCATGGTGCCAAATCTATCATTCAGGAGTTTCCAGAGATCACAATTTTAACTACTGAAGTTCATCCTGTTGCACCTACACATTTTGGACAAAAATATTTTGGAACAGACTAAGTTACTGAAGGAAAAATTAATCATCTGGTATAATATTAAACTTATGATTTGAGTTTCTACTTGTTTTACAAATTCACTGATGAGTGACAAAATTGCATACTTACATTTTCATTTTGGGGTTGGTTCTTGTAAAAAGGTAATATTTGTGGTATATTTTATTTGATTGGTAATAAATTCAGAATGGGACTTCTCTTAGAAAAAATGGAAATTTTGGTTATATGCTCATGCAAATTACTAGCCGCTCTCTGTAGAACTCTCTGTCCCTCTCATTCATGTTGCCATTGTGCTGGAACTGACTCATAGCAGACTTTTCATTGGGTTTCTCAGACTAGAAATGACCCCCTCCAACATTTCCCATCCTTTGTCTAAGTTGCTGCTGATAGTAGATTCAAGCTCAATTCCCTATAAACTTTGCCACTAGAACTCCCTCAGTGTACTGAAATTGTTTCCTAATCTTTAAACTGTCTACTTTGGAGGTTGCTTTCATCTACAAATAAAACCCAAATGAGAGTCAATTCTTTGACTCACTATTCTTTTGCATTTTGCTTTTAACTCTAGGGTGATAGAATGGACATGGTGGCTGCTACCATCTAGTCTTTGTTCCCAACACTGTAGATGCTATTAAGAAGGAGAAAGGAATGTCTCTTACAATATTTTCATTACTATCCTAATTCTTTTGGCAGACCCAGACTATATGTTTTAAAAAAATTTTTTTAGAATATATGTTTACAATACGTGCCATTGAGTTGCCTACAACCCTATGAACAACAGCTCTGAACTTTGCCATTGTGTTCTTTATGGCTTCTCTCCCAGACCATAACCCTAACTGTTGCCATATCCGAGTGAAGAAAAGAAGATGGTGTGACATTTTCAACAACTAAAACTGTAACCTGGACTTAACTAGGGATGTCAGAATGCTGATAATGGGGGTGCTAAGTACAATTACTTCTCTATAAATCCTCTAAAAGGACTTGGTGGCCAACTTTCTGCAGTGTAAGGGAAAAGATTATTTCTTCTTAGGTCTCATAGCTAGTAAGGAAATGAAAACATGTAATTTTAATTTTTATATTTCTACTATAAGCCTTTATTTGGAAATTAGTTATTTTGCCTATTTGTCAGCTGTATGTGTATTAAAATGGGGAAATATTGCACATTAAAAGAAGCTGTGTGTTCACATTTAAGTTTCTTAAAGGGAGAGAATCACTTTAGAAAACATTGTTTATGTTTTGAACCGTGCTTGTAAAACTGTAGTCTTATTTTTATATTAAAGCATTTTCATAATGGGGAAAAAAAAGAAACAAAGATTCTCACCACCACTCCTCTCAGATGATTGACAGCTTCTGAAAATCTACTGGAGAGCCAACTATGGGTCAATTCGGACTCAAGGTACATAACAACAACAACAACAATGACACAGCATTCATTTGATCAAGAATCAAAAATAATGAAGGGAGAAGTTCAAACTGCACTAAAGACATTGGCAAAAAGTAAGGCCCCAGGAATTGATTGAATACCAATTGACATGTTTCAACAAATAAACACAGCCTTGGACGTGTGCCAAGAAATTTGGAAGACATACTACGTGGTCAACAGACTGTAGGAGATTCATATTTGTTCCCATTCCCAAAATAAGGTGATTCAAAAGAATGTAGAGATTATTGAACAAGATCAATGATATGACATACAAGTAAAATCTTGCTGAAGATTATTTAAAAATTACTGAAATAGCACACTAACAGAGAACTGTCAGAAATTCAAGCTAGATTTAGAAAAGGCCTTGGCATTAAGTATATCATCATTGATGTCAACTGGATCTTGGTTGAAAGCAGAGAATACCAGAAGAATGTCTATAGGTGTTTTGCTACTATTGTTGTTGTTATGTGTCATTGAGTATCCTATGACTCAAAGCAACCTATGAACACTATCTCTGTACCTTGATCTTGTATCTTAAGCAACTTTATTATCTCTGACATACCTGCTTACATTGCCACAGTGTCTGTGTCAATCCATTAAATCCAGGATCTTCCTCTCTTGAACTGACCCTCCACCCCACCAAGCATGATGTCCTTCCCTAAGGACTGGTCCCTCCTGGCAACATGCTCAACGTATGTAAAGGCATTTGGTTGTGTGGATCAGAACAAATTATGGCTAACATTGAGAAGAATACGAAGTCCAGAACATTTAATTGTTCTCATGTGAAACCTATACCTAGACCAAGAGGCTGCTGTCAAAACAAAGCAAGGGGACAATGCATAGTTTAAAATCAAGAAAACTGTGTGTCAGTGTTGTATCCTTTCTTCATATCTATTCAACCTGTATTCTGAACAAATCATTCAAGAGGCTGGTTTTATGAAGAAAAATGTGACATCAGGATCAAAGGAAGACTCATCAACAATCTATAATACGTAGATGACACAATCTTGCTTGCTCAAAGTGTGGACTTAAAAATGCTTGCTGGTGATGATTGAAGACGACAGCCTTCGATACAGATTGCATCTCAACATCAAGAAAACAAAAATCTTACCCACCAGACCAATGGACAATATTATGACGGATAAAGAAAGATTAAACTTGTCAATAATTTCATCTTACTTGGATCTACAATCAACACTGTTGGTACCAGCAGTCAAGAAATCAAAAGACATATTGTACTGAGAAATCCACTCTCAAGGACCTCTCCAAAGTGTTAAGGAGCAATGATGTCAGTTTAAAGACTAACATGCATCTGACTAAAGCCAGAATCTTTCCAATTACTTGCTATGCATTGAATTACTTGCTATTCTAGGAATCCTCAATTTTCAGCTTAACAGTACAGAGAAGAGGACATAGAACAGTACATAGATAGGGTACTGCCAGAATATCAAACAGGATGTAGAAGAGGTCATGGCACTAGGGATATCATTTCTGATGTCAGATGGATCCTGGCTAAAAGCAGAGGATACCAGAAGAATGTTTATTTGTGCTTTATTGACTATGCAAGGGCATTTGATTGTGTGGATCATAACAAGTTGTGGCTGACATTGAGAGGAATGGAAGTCCCAGAGCATTTAATTGTGTTCATATGTAACCTGTATCTGGACTAGGAAGCTGTTGTACAAATAGAGCAGGGGAACACTGAATTGTTTAAAATTAATAAGATAGTGTATCAGGATTATATTCTCTCTCCATGCCTGTTCAGTTTGTATAATGAGCAAATTATTCAATAAGTTGGACTCTATCAGAAGGAATATGGCATCAGGACTGGAGGGAGACTTGCCAATAACCTGTGTTATGCAGACAACACAACCTTGCTTGGTGAAAGTGAGAAACACTTGAAGCACTTGTTGCAGAAGAACAAAGATTGCAGCTTTCAATATGAATTGGCTCTCAATGTCAAGAAAGCAAGATCCTTACCACTGGACCAATAGGCAACGTCATGATGGCTTGAGAATAGATTGAAACTGTTACCAACTTCATTTTACTTGGATCCACAATTAACATTGTTGGTACCAACAGTCAGGAAATAAGGAGACACATTGTAATGGGAAAGTCTATAGTTTGAGACCTCTCCAAACTATTGAGGAGTAATGACGTCAGTTTGAGGACTAAGATGTATCTGATTCAGGCCATGGTCTCTCTTATCACTTGATATGCATATGAGCTGAACAATGAATAAGGATGACAGAAGAAGAATTTATGTCTTTGATCTGTGGTTGGAGAAGAGCACTGAAAATTCCATGACAGCCAAAAAATAAACAACTATGTCTTGGACAAGATAAAGCCAGAGGGCTCTTTGGAGTCTTTGGATGATGAAACATACTTCAGGCATGTTGCTAGGAGGGGCTATTCATTGGAGAAAAACATGATGCTTTGAAGGATGGAGGGTTAGTGAAGGAGAAGAAGACCCTCAAACCAGGTGGATTGACATGGTGACTGTTGCAATAGGCTCTAGTGTGTCAGGAAGTGTGAAGATGGCACAGGATAGGACAGGGTTCAGAGCTGTTGTTCAGAGGGTTGCTATGAGCCCTACTCAACTTAACAGCACCTAATGACAACATCAACAATGCTATTAAAGTTGGGAAATAATAACAATGAAAGAACATTTATCCCAAAGTAAAAAGCAAACTGGGAGGGAGGGGTGCAGGGAGGAAAATGTGCAATAATGAATAAACGGAAATCCAAGTTCTTTATAAACTTTCATTACAATTTCAATTAAAAAAAAAGGAAAAAAGAGATTTGGGAAATAAGTAAGGATGATAGAAGAAGAATCTATGTCTTTGACTTGTGGTATTGGAAAAGAATACTGAATATCCCATAGACTGTCAAAAGTACAAACAAATATACTTTGGAGCAAGTACAAGGGTGCTCCTTAAATACAAGTATGGGGAAGTTTTGCCTCACATAATTTGGACATGTTGTTAAGAAGAGTCAGTCCTTGGGAAGTGACAGCATGCTTGGACGAGTAGAGGGTCAGTGTAACACAGGAAGAGCCTCAATGAGATGGATTGACACAGTAATGGTAACAGTGGGCTCAAGTATATCAGAGATGTTTAGGATGGCACAGGATAGGGAGGGTTCGGATGTGGTGTTTATCTGATCACTGTGATTCTTATTCCACTCCATGGCACCTAACAACATGACACTCATATATAATTATTTAAGTTTTCAACCATTCATCAAATGGGGATTTGCAATTAGCAACTTGATATGGATAGGGAAAAGACTCAAAATAAGCAAAGCAACATTGAAGAACAACAAAATATGTTTCGGTAACTGGATTTAAGGGCCCCAGTAGTCAAGATAGATTAGTACTAGGACAACTGACACATAGACCAATGGAAAATAATTGAATCAACCTTTGACAAGAAACCAAACTCCATTAAGTGGGGAAAAGACTGACTCTTCAATAAATGGTGCTGGTAAAACAGGATCTCTAGTTGCAGAAAAAATGAAGCAATATCCATACCTCATACCACATTAAAAAGTAATTAAAGAGAGATCAAAGACCTAAATGTAAAGCC